CCAAGTTGTCCAAACACATTTTTTCCCTCCATTGGCAGCACCCACAAAAATGTACCGCTATGTTGCTGAAGACAAAATTGAATTTAGAGTCTTAGAGTCCCAGCAGCTATTAGTGTCTCTGGTTTCCGAACGAAAACTGGTGATGCTGTAGGCATTCTTCACAGAGGAGGCCAGTGAACATGCTCAGCCTCCTGTCAGTGTGGATGTTCTGGAGACAGAGCACCAGGGAAGCAAGAAACTGTCCCCATGGACAAATACCCCCCAGTTTCTTAAAGATCGTAGCTAGAGCCTTAAAGTGTCCATGCTTCCCCTTAAGATTTGGTGCAGGGGGAGGGGCTTGGACCTGCCTCAACTGAATGTACTAGGCTCTGCTGACTCACCATGAGAGGCCTTACCTTGTCTGAGGAGGGAATGGGGGGTGGGTTGGGAGGGGCAAGGCTGGGGGGCAGGAGGAGGGAAGAGAGGGGGATCTGTGGTTGGTATGTAAAATGAATAAAAAATTTCTTAATTAAAAAAAAGAAATATAATATTCCTAGCTATGCTAAAAAAAAAAAAAAAAGATTTTACATGGGATTTTAGAGTGATCTTCCAGAGGAACCGGAGGAAAGGGTGTGACTGAGAGAAATAAAGCCCTCATCAAAGATGTTCCCATCCTAATAAAGCCCTCATCAAAGATGTTCACATCCTAATCTTTTGAACCTGTGAATGATTAGTTGCCCAGAAGGGAAGAGTACTCATCTGATGAATCTATAGTCCACCATGACATCATTATGGGAGTACAAGGAAGTTATTTAATTTTCCTCCCTGAGCCTTGGTTTTCTCATCATTATAGTGGGTTAACACTAGCCAACTCAAGATTCTTTTAAAGCACAATGTGTTCATATGACTATGTGGGGTTGCCAGTGGATTTTTAAAATCTGTATATATATTATTCTTATGAGCTTGTGTGTGTGTGTGTGTGTGTGTGTGTGTGTGTGTGTGTGTGTGTGTGTGTGTGTCTGCCTCAGGTGTCACTCTTCATTTTCTCAGGTGCTAGCCACATTGGTTTTTTTGTTGAGACAAGGTCTTTTTTTTAGTTTTTTTTTTTTAAAGTATATTGGTGTTTTGCCTGTATGTATATCTATGTGAGGGTGCCAGATCCCCTGGAACTGGAGTTACAGACAGCTGTGAGCTACCATGTGGGTGCTGGGAATTGAACCCAGGTCCTCTGGAAGAGCAGCCAGTGCTCTTAACCACTGAGCCATATCTCCAGCTCCCTCTTATGAGCATTTTTAGGGTAAATGATGGTGTGGACAGGGTTTGTGGGTGTCTTTCAAGGACTCACATTGCTGGAAGCTATGTTCCTTGTGTGGCAGCAGTAAGACATTAAGGAGAAGACAGTTGATTGGCTCGAACTGTTCGGGGGGCGCCCAGGCAGGGGGATCGGGATCTGTCCCTGGTCTATGGGCAGGCTTCTGGAATTCAGTGCCTGTGGTGTGACACCTTGCACAGCCTTGGTGCAGTGGGAAGGGGCTTGGACCTGCCTAGGCTCAGTGTGCTGGGCTTTGCTGACTCCCTATGGGAGACCTCGATTTGGGGGATGTAGCGATGTGGGGTAGCTAGGGAAAGAGGGCTGTGGGTGGGAGGAGGGAAGAGGGGGAATCTGTGGATAGTATGTGGAGTGAGTAGAAAATTTCTTAATAAAGAAATATAAAAATAAAGAAAATAAAAGAGATGGAGTTCAGTGGGAGCTGGTTGGGTTGTTGGGGATAGAAGTTGGACGAGATTAAAATAGTTATCAGGCTCTGAGCTACTTGTGAGAATCAGTTGTCAAAACAGAGCTCCTCTGACTCTGACTCTGGCTTCATGGGTCACCAGGTAATCTCTCATGCTTGCTCTGTGCTTGTTACTATGCTACACCATGAGGTGACTTAGCCAATGGGGCTTTCACTGGTGCCAGTGCCATGATGTTTGGACTTTTAGCTTTCAGATCTGTGAACTAATTAAATTGATGACTCTAAATTGACATGTCCTATCACCCTATGATGGTTAATCTTTCACTGTCTTGATTTAGAATCACCTAAGAGATACATCTTTGGGTGCACCTGTGAGGGTGTTACCAGAGATGCTTAAGCAGAAAAGACACATCCTAAATGTGGGTAGAACTTTCACAGGGGCTGAGGTTCTATACTGAATATAAGAGGGTAAAGAGAAAGCGTTCTGAGACTTGGTATTCATCTCTTTCTGCTTCCTGACTGCAGGAACAGGTTGAGCCTTGTGCTTCTGTAGTCATATCTGCTGGGCCATAATGGATCGTAATCCCTCAAACCATAATCCTACTCTCCAAATCCCTGTTCTTTCTTTAAACTGTTTTTATATTGGTATTTTTGTCAAAGCTGTGAGTAAAATAAAATACCCCAAGTTCATAGCTCATATTAGGATTCATCTTTAATATTGTATATCTATGGATTAAAAGAAGCGTATAATGTAATTTACTATTATAGAGTCAGAATATTTTCAGTACCTTCAAAATCTTTGCTAGCCTAGCCATTCTTCCATCCTTCTCAACTGTCTGGCTTTCTAAAAAACAACTAACCTGCCTACTTAGGCATCTATTAGTTTGTATCCCACCAGTCACGAGTGATAGTTGCTGCTGCTGCTCTGCCCCTCACTAGCATCGCATGTTCTCAGGCTTTTGCATTTTGGCTATTCCAATTGTGTGTCCACTTCTGACATTAAATAAGATCATGCCTCTGAGTTACCCAGCTTCGAACCCAGTCCCTCCACCCTCTCTAGCACTTAGTGCCAAGATACAGTTCAAGTGTCCCAAAAGAAGAGAAAAAGAAGAAAAGAAATTAATGGAGAGAAAGTATTGATCCTGCAGGATCTAGGACAGGGAATCCACACCATCTAGCATTGTTTGGGACAGAGGTTCTGGCTCTATAGTCTACGTGAACTTTTGTAAATAAAGGTGTGTAGGGCTCTGGCACTTTGTCTTTCAGAGAAAGAGAAGAAAAGGAATGAGATGGTGTATGAAGAACAGAAGGAAGAGACGGGAGGAGAGACAAAGAGAAGGAACACAGTGGGAACTGGTCTAGACAGAAATCCTGCTGAGGTTTCCTCCTCAAAAGCACCCTCTGCTCAGAGATGTGGCGGGGAGGGGGTTGGCAAAGAAAATGTAGCCCCCTGCTCCTCCTTTTTTGTGTCTCTGGTTTACATTATTCTTCTTATCAGTTTAGTACTGTATTATATCCAACTCTCACACAAATGTACGTTGATTAATTGCACCAAGGCCACTTGTACCATGATGGCAAGGCTTAGGGAAGACACTTCTCTGTCAAATTCCAAAGGTTAAGATGGACCTTTGAGAAGCACTGGGGACATACTGTTTGAGGAGAGTACCTAAAAGTAAGTAGATTATTTAAGTCATTTCATTGGTCATTCCTTTTTTTTCTAATGTGTACGGGTGAGATGTTCCCCACAAAGACAGTGTTGCTCTTTGTTGACTGGTATTCAAGATCCTAGGAAAGTGTATGAACAGTGGGAAATGCAGGCTTTAAATCCTGGACAATAGCTCATCTCCTTTCAGCCTTTGCAGCCAGCGTAGCTTTAAGTCTACAGAGTTATAAGTGCAGTGGAATGATTTCAACATCCAATTAAAACCATTGCTAGAGTTTGTGTTCAAAATAATCTCTTGATTAAATTTTGTGATATTGTACAACCTTTTTTTAAATGGTTAGGACAATGCTAATTTTAGAATATTATCAACTTGTAAGAAATGAGTAGATTCAAAAACTATTTTTTAGTCTATTAGTAAATTTTTATGAGAAGAGCACAAAGAGAAACTTCACAAAGTACTGTTCTTTTATAGGAGCATTTACAATAGACAGGATGACTTCTGTACAATATACCCAGCTTCAAATCATCACAAGATGCTTTCCCCAGCTTCTTTTTCAAGTCAACCTAAAATTGAGTTAAATATCATTTAGAGACACTAGCTATTGAGATTGTTCAACGCTCTTAAAATGAAAGAGCAAAGTCTTCTAAAGTGATTATGACATGCTTAAGTAAATATTTTCCCCAAAGGTTCACTGTATAATTTAACTTGAGAAGATATGGGTAAACACAGACCTGCTGCAATATTTTAGTGAGTAATTTACTATTTCCTCTAATTTGGAAAGCCCTTTAAAACATACAGAATCTGCTGCGATTTCCCATAACACCACTTTTTCTGAAGGCTTTCTACAGCTGGATAACCAACAGCGCTCACAAATCTGTTCATCAAGGGGCTCAGAAACCCTAGCGGGGAAACCCAAGTCTCTGCATCTTTTCATTTTCACTCTATCTGACCTTTGCTTCATTGACCCCCACATGACTTCACAACCGAGTTTACAGATCCGAAGACATTGCCGTGAACAGTATTCCAACTCTAGTAAAAGTGTTTGTGTGTGTTTAAGTCAAGATTTACTTGTATTAAGAGCTTTAAAGCTGACCTAGAAGAATGATAAGCGGGGTTAGCTTACCCTGGAAGGCAGTTCAGTTCAGTATTCTAGAGTTACTCATGAAAGACCTCTGCTGTCACCACTCAGACTGAAGTAAAAACTCAATAAAAAAGAAAATGCTGGCAACTAACTATGCACACAATGTTAACGTGACATACTGCAAAAATCAGGCTAGATAAAGTGGCTACACCACACAGCCATAGTGCCAATTTGGAAAATCTCCAGAGAAACAGCTGCATTTGATTGTATAACCTGTCTTGCCTGCATAAGAAACCCCAGAATTTCAGGGTGTGCTGGGATGTGGACAAAACTGGTAAAAGTGACACGAACATCTCATTGACAAGTAGCAGGACAGTGACACCTGTAGAAATCACACGTATGTATGATAAACCCATATTAACTTCAAAGATGCCATCATTCATTTCTCCTACCAGAGAATGGTGGGGAATATAAAGTGACATCAGTTCTGCTAGCTGATCCAGAAAATGCCTACACTTTGCTACTATATTCTTAGATTACCTGTGAATACCTCCACTTCTGGCATTTGGTAGCAACTGGCTGAGGCAAACCCGGCAGAATGGTTTCCAGTTGCTGGCTGATTAACTCCTGTACCTCCTCCTCACTGTGCTCCAAGTACGTAACTCCAAATGGGACAGTGGTGTGGATCACCAGGGATGGACCAAATTCTGATGACTCTGCAGTGTGAGAGGAACAGAAAGATGTGTGTTAAAGCAGGGGAACCTGGAAGCACAGCCCAGGGTTTGAATCCGAAGTTAGAAAGCAATCATGATAACCAGAGGACAGACTAACGGCTCCAGCATACATCAGGCTGTTTCTGAACCAGCTTTAGCTCTCCTGGGGAGGAAGGTAGGTTGCAGATACGCTTTAGAAAACAAGATGTCAGGTCTTTCTAAGAAACTCGAAGAGACGGTAAGAACCTCCTGCCCCAGGTACAATTAAATTCATTGGTATTTTTATCTTCTCTTATTATCAAATTGTAAGCCTTTTATATATTATATCATACATGTTCTATTTTCTTAAGTTCTGAGAATGAAATGGATGTTCAAAAAGATATTTATGTTAGGAAGACTGCAAAATACTGCTGTGGGATGGTCTGTATGTCAAATTGCTCTGATTGGTCAATAAATAAAACACTGATTGGCCAGTGGCCAGGCAGGAAGTATAGGCAGAACAAGCAGAGAAGAGAATGCTGGGAAGTGGAAGGCTGAGTGGGAGAGACACTGCCAGCTGCCGCCATGACAAGCAGCATGTGAAGATGCCGGTAAGTCACGAGCCACATGGCAAGGTATAGATTTATAGAAATGGATTAATTTAAGATGTAAGAACTAGATAGCTAGAAGCCTGAGCCATTAGGCCAAACAGTTTAAATAATATAAGCGTCTGTGTATTTATTTTATAAGTTGGCTGTCGGACTGCCAGGGCTTGGAGAGACCCGGAGAGAAAACTCTCCAGCTACAAAATACTTTACTAAAATTATAACAGTTCTACATTATGTTTAGCACTTTGAAAAAGAAATTATCTCTTTGAAATGAGAATTTTCCTCCTAATGTTATTTCTTGTATCTTTTGTGTGTATGTGAGACAAGGTGATATTATGTAGCCCAGGCTAGCCTTAAACTTGAGATCACCTCCTTCACCCTCTTAAGTGGTGAGAGTATAGTTGTGCCACTATACTTTATCTTCCAGTTGACAAAAGAAATAGAAGTCTTTCCCATCTATAACTCCCCCTTTTATTTGTCACTGAATTTGTTTTTGCTGTATTTTCATGATTAAAACAATGAGTTTGGAAGAACATAAGGTAACTAATAAAGCATGAAGTTAAAGGCATTTAGGAAACTAAGCCATTAGAAAATGTAATCTTGGAAGGAACGTTAACATGACTTTGGTTTAAATAATATTGATGAAAAGTTAGGAAGACTATATTTATGTAGTAAGGTGCTGATGGATTGGCAACTTGATTCTAAATGTCTCTAATTTTGTATTATAAGAACTTATGCTATTTGAGCTATATTGATTCATTTCTACATACAAAAGTATAAGATTGAATGGCATAAGTCAATCACTTCGCATATGCCCAGTTAGCCTCTCTATATTTTAGAGATTTAATTTTTTTCTTTTCTGTAAAATCAGAATAATCTTGCACCTACCTAGGTTTACAAAGTGATGCTTCATAAAAGATACAGGGCCGGGCAGTGGTGGCGCACGCCTTTAATACCAGCACTTGGGAGGCAGAGCCAGGCGGATCTCTGTGAGTTTGAGGCCAGCCTGGGCTACCAAGTGAGTTCCAGGAGAGGCGCAAAGCTACACAGAGAAACCCTGTCTCGAAAAACCAAAAAAAAAAAAAAAAAAAAAAAAAAAAAGTAAGATATGGGATGAAGGCAATAAATCAGTTAAAAGGGCAACATTCCTAGGTGTTGCTCAAATTATAGCCATGAATTATTTTTAATATAGGTGCTTCATTTTCCCATTTCACTCAGCTCAAGGAACTCTTACAAATGGCGTCCAACGTGGTGGCAAGAGTTTCCACCTAAAAACTGAGAAAAAAGATTCTAAAACGGAGCTAAAAACAGTTCCTAATTGTCTCTCTCAAATGAGCGGCAGCTGCTGGTTTGAGCTACTGGTGGGTTCCTGGTGTGCGCGCTTGACCTGCAGTATGGCGGGAATGAGGCCTCTGCAAGTGGTACATTAAGATGCGTGATAGATTTATCCTTTGCTAGTACAAAACAAAAAAAAGAGGTTTCTGGGCTACACGCTGCTTAGATAAAAGCATAAAAGCATAGACCCACGATAGCTCCCAGAGCTGGTGGTAAACCACCGCCATGTTGGGAAGCTGAGGTGGGCAGAGCCAGCAGCCACAGCTGCTGCAGCTTAAAGCAATAGATTCACAATAAGACAGATTCAGATGTAATAGTTTACAATGTGTGTAAAAGATATGTAGGCTTGAAAGAGACAAAAAAGGTGATATATAGAGTTATAGAAACAAATACATAGTTTTAAAAAATAAAGTCTTTAAAGAGACAGTAAAGGTAGTATAAAAAATAAGCCATGTAAAAATGGATATTACACAGAGAATCTGGATTGTGTTGTCTTTGGGATTTTTAACTGCAGAAAAACATTTGATTGTAAAAGCTCTTGAGTTATGCCAAAATGTATATTTTAAAGGTACCTTGACTTCAAAATTTGGATATAAGGATATGTTGCTTTGGAAAGGAGACTCTGCTTTTGTTCCCACAGAAAGCCAAAGGCTATTGATTTGTTCCAGATTAAGATACATCAGGTTTGACCAGCCAAGACCCCCTGAAAGGTCTCCGATGACACCATGGCCCAGATGATCCAACATCCAGAATGGTTTGAAGGCAACTGGCTCAGACGATACAGACGATACAGCCTCACGGACTACTCCATGATCCTAAAATTTTCTTTGTGTCCCCATAAGATACAGCGCCCCCCTCCAGCAGGAAGTAGTAAGAGAAGCTACGCCCAAATTCCCAAATTATATGTAATTTTACTTTGTTAAGGTTAAAACCTTCCTTTTTGAAAAAAAAAAGGGGAAGTGCTGTGGGATGTTCTGTATGGCAAATGTGTTGCCGATTAGTCAATAAATAAAACACTGATTGGCCATTGGCTAGGCAGGAAGTGTAGGTGGGACAAGGAGGAGAATAAAGCTGGGAAGTGGAAGGCTGAGTCAGAGAGACACTGCCAGCCGCCATGATGAGAAACAGCATGTGAAGATGCCGGTAAGCCACGAGCCACGTGGCAAGGTATAGATTAATGGAAATGGATTAATTTAAGCTGTAAGAACAGTTAGCAAGAAGCCTGCCACGGCCATACAGTTTGTAACCAATATAAGTCTCTGTGTTTACTTGGTTGGGTTTGAGCGGCTGTAGGACTGGCAGGTGAGAGAGATTTGCCCTGACTGTGGGCCAGGCAGGAAAACTCTAGCTACAAACTCTGGCTTATGAATTTTAAAGATAAACACAAGGGATAGTCTCAAAATGCTACAAGCCTTCTAAAGTACAATCAGTGCTTCCATCAAATCCCATGTATGAGGTTGGGGTATGGATGGAGACACTGTGCTCTAAGTGCATGGTGAATCAGATTGTCCACCATTCACCTCACTGTAACTGGAACAACAGGACTAAGCAATGGAGAAGACATCCCTAGAATGCTGAGTCTTTCTCCTGTGAGTGCAGACTTCACTGGCACCACACAGAGGGAAAGACTCATCAGTGCTAAGGCAGGCACAGTCTATCTGAAGGGGCTGAGGAGTCCTTTAATATATTAAGAAGGGGGAATTTGTGGAGGCCCAAATTACTCAGGGTTAGAGAATCTGAGCTTGCTTTCCTCAGCAGCATGGCATAAGAGGATGATTTGACCACGGGTGTGATTGGCAGGTATTTGGAAGGGTCTACACTTGGCTGTGCAGTGTGCTTCGATCTAGCAAGGGGGAGGTCTTTTGCTTCACCCCTTGGCATTGTTATAAAAAGCCCTTTTGAAGAGGCAGAAGGGACCTTTGGGTTTTGATCCAGGTCCTCCTGAAGCTATCCTGTGTTTCTGTCTTTCCCCTCTTTGCTATCTTTCTATCTAGTATTTCTTATCTCTCTCTCTTCCTCATAGGAACCCTTGAAAAGGTGGGAGCAGGCCTCCTACAAGTGTGAAACTGCAAGTTCTTCCAGGGACTGCTCCCACAGTAAGAACCTCTCTGCGTGCTGCTGCCTTTGTAGTTTGATGGTTTAAAAGGTGAGAGCCGTCTGTGCACCTGTCGTTGGTCTTCTTTGCTTCCTGCTGCTATGGAACGTGACCAGCTGCTTCAGCTCCTGCTGCCATGACTTACTTCCCCACTATGGTGGACTGCACCTGGAACTGTGAGCCAAATAACCCCTTCCTTACTTAAATTCATTTGCTATCGTGTTTGATCACAACAACAGGAAAAGCACCTAAGACAGCAGATGTTATTTACGTGTCAGTTAATAACTTTATTAAACATCAGTTAAAAAACTCATGACGTTTGTTCACAGTGGAGGGTGCAATGCCAAGTGGTACCGAATTTTCCTAGAGACAGAAAGATACCTCATCAGCATTGGGAAGCAGGAGAATAGAACTCTGCTTGCTATTACAGGCAGGTTTTAAAGGGACACAAATGCTAGAGATGTGCTGAGCATCAAGAGGTGCTCTCTTCCAGTCAGTGAGACCAACAATGGTGCAGGACGAGTTTTGCCCGGTTACAACAGCCATCTCCCACCAGGAGATCAATACAGAATGGAACCTTAAAACTCAAATTGAAACGGTTTTTACATAATAATGAAAAAAACAGAGAACAACCTGGTTACTTTTTATTCTTGGAATTGAACATATTATGAGAATTTATGTTAAAATTTACACTAAAGAATAAGTTTAAAAGCAAATGACTCCAACCCCCAAACTCAAGTCACTTTTCGAAGCGAAAGTGAAAAAAGAAGATACAAAGAGTCGACCAGAGTTTAAACACAACCAAGATTTGGAACAGGAAATCACAAAGAGCAACAAATAGGTTACTAGGATTTAGGTCTGATGGGGAGAGACAAGAGAGGGCAATGGAGGAAAAGACGAACTATCATGTTTTCCTCCATATGCAGTTTGTAGACATGGGTAAACACACATGTATAGGTTACCAGACGGCATAAAAGGGACTTTTG